TTTCAAGACCTTCAGCAACGCGACTTAGCATTTCTGCGTCCTAATGAATAACGTTTCCTCCTAGAACACAACTGCATCGTGTGTCTGGGGGGCCGCCAAAAGCGCTACTCCCTAACTGTTTCAAAGCCCAGACATCGGCCAGGGCGATGGGCAAGGGGAAAAATAAAAGGCATCCAAATTGGACGGAAGAGGCAAAACTCTCTGTTCAGAGATGTCACCATCTTACTGCAGAAAACCGTAGAGGTGCCACTGACCAAAGCACAACCCGTTAGAACTACTAAAGTCTGGACAGAAGCCTGATGGGGTGGACCATCTTATCCCACCATGTCAGAGGCAGCGATTGGTGGGGCTCTGCAGAGCGGGGCCGTCACAGCCAGACCTGAGACCGGCAACGCAGCCCACTTTGCGGGCGCTCTGTCCTGCGCAGGTGCGCTGGGCTGGGCCGGAGGGAGCTGTGCTGGGCCGGATGCCCCCTGGGGCGGGCCTCCTGCAGGGGGCAGGGCAGGTAGGGACCCAGGCCCAATGGGGCACAGCCACTGTGGACAGGGGGCGGGGATTTCCCCCAGAGGCCCCAGGGAGCGAGCGCCGGAGCGATCCCCACGCGCATCCCTGGCCTTGAATGAACTAGTCACAATTTGAAAACTAGAACTGCTTGAAAGCATTGCTCAATTCGGAGGCTCTATTCTGGGGCGGAATCACGAAACAATGGAAGGACCCCAGGTGTGACTCAGTCTGGTCTGGAAAACTCCAGCAACCCCCAGGGGAAGGGGGGCTTGCTTCCTCTGAAATAAGACTAACGTGAGGACAAGGTGCAGCAAGGTGGCGGGGAGGCGAACAGGACACCACCCTTCTCCCCAGTCACATTTGGTTGATGCAGGCAGCCGGGTCCGAGAACCCACAGGGAGTCCCGCAGGACCAGCCCAGCGGGTCCCCGGCACCGGGCAGGATAGAAGTCAAACGTGAGCCAGCAGGAGGCGAGCAGAAGTTACCGAAGGTATGGAGAGAGGGCAGGTACAGGCAGTGTCTGGGAGATCCAGAAAGGAAAGGAGAGAGAGTCTCTTCTTTGCTCGGGGTCTGTGGGTTTGTTTTTTTTATTTTTTTTATATTTCATTTATTTTTTTGACAGAGAGAGACACAGCGCGCGAGAGAAAACAAGCAGGGGGAGAGGGAGACAGAGAAGCAGGCCTCCCAGGGAGCAGAGAGCCCGATGCAGGGCTCGATCCCAGGACCCCGGGATCATGACCTGAGCCGAAGGCAGACGCCCAACGACTGAGCCACCCAGGCGCCCCAGGGTCTGTGGTTTTTGTCGAGGATTCTGGACTGCTGTACCTGCCCTCTCTGGAACTAGTTAGAACCAGGACAAGGGCCCAGGCGTCCTTCATAAAACAATGATTGCTCGGGACCCTGGGGGCTTGGTGTGCAGTTGTCTAGCGCCGGTGCTCTGGAATGTGCCTACGATGGCTTCACCGGCTCACCCTCACCCAGTCCTTCCTTAGGTGTTGTCTATTGTGCTGGAAGACTCTAAGGAAATCATGAGCTCCTTGTCCTTACAGGGAGGACTGACAGCTCTTTGCACTATGAGGCACGTGTAAAGTGGGGGTTCAGGTCCTAGCAAGAGTAGAAGCAGGTAAAGGAGCAAAACCCAGAATTTCATGGAGTCCTTCAGGCTCCGCACCTCCTGGTGAAGCCCGGTTCAGGGTGTGTGTCCCCAGACAACCACAATTTCTGCTTTGCCGACCGGAGCGTGAGGTTCCCGTGCTGTGGCTGACAGCCCTGTTCCTGCTCAGCTGGAATTCAGGTTCCAACTGACTTTTCAGTTTTAAAACAGTCTCCCCCATCTCTGAGGAAAAAAAAGAGAAAAAAAAAGACAACCCTCAAAAAGAAAGTGTCGTAAGGTCGGCCTTATCGTCTAGGACAGGACTTTGGGTTTTCTTGGTTTTGACACAGTTTGACAAGTCTTAGAAGAGGTGTGACAGCACATGGCGTTAGAAGTACTTAGAACCATAGAGAAGGATTGAGTTGACGAAGAACGGATGTGTCAAAAGTGAACACACACATCCACACCAAAGCGTGTCCACAGACGTTCGTGGCATCTTTATTCACAATAGCCGAGAAGTGGATACAGGCCCGACGTCCTTCACAGGGGGCATGAATACATAAAATGTGGTACCACACACTACACACACATAAAGAGGTGGAGCAGTGTGGACAACACCGATCCGTCTTTGGCCTCCGTCGTGTTCAGCGAGGATCGTCGACTGCTCGACCCCCTGTCAGGGAGTCGCCCTGAGCAATCTGAGCAAACCGGGGGGAGTGGCCGGCGCCCACTTCTGGTCTGCAAGTGCCTTCTCAGTCGGGGGGATACCTTGCCTCCCGCCCCTGCCACAACACGGGGGCACCTGAAACATTACGTGAATGAAGCCGGACACAGAAGGACACCTGTTGTGTGATTCTATTTATGGAAATGCCCCAGTAGGCCAATCCAGAGAGACAGAAATTTGATTGGTATTTTCTGGAATCCGGGGCAAGGTGGGGGCGAGCGGACAGAGTGAGGCGCTAGGATTGGAGGAACAGGGAGAGATTGTTTCATGAGTACTGGGGGGTCTTGAACGCCTGCAGCGGGTTTCCTCATCTGTGGAAGAGGGATGAGAACATTTGCTGCGGAGGCCTAAGCTGGGGTCAGAGGTCAGAGGACCTGCTCAGTGTATGGCACAGTCATGCCTACTGGGTCCCCTGGGCTCACTACCCCCCGCCATCCCCCGACCCTCCTACCACGTTGTCCAGCGCAAGGACCCCGAACGCAGGGAGGGAGCCGGCAGCTGCCTGTTGCCCCCACGCACGGGGCTCCTCGGGGGACCTCCCAGTGCTGCCCGGACCCGCTTGCTTCTCCTGAAAGTTCCTGCTGCTAGAAGTTGCTGGTGATCCATCCAAGGAGATGAGAAGTCAGTGTGCGGTGACCGTCACCGTGTCACTGGGGAAGTGCATGTCCTTCCTGCCCTGGGGTGCCGTGGGGGGGCAGGGCGGGCCAGAGGCTCGTTGCCCCCTGGGGCACCCTGCACTCCCGTGCTGCAGCCCTCCCAGCCGGGGCTGATGGCCATCCCGGCACATTTCAAGGGGGCCGGGAAGGGCAGTACTGGCTAAGGGGATGGGAGGCACAGCTCTGGGCACCCACATCACCCTAAAATATCACCACTGGTGTCTGTATCCCCAAGAGTTCACCCAAAGGACCCAGAAATCCTGCCCGGGCTTGGACTATTTCCAAGCGTCCTGTGACGCCCTGGTCACCACCCATCTGGGCATTGGACCAGCGATTCCTGCGGGGTTATGCCCACCCATCTTTCTTTGCCTTGTTGATTTGGCAGAACTTTTGGCCTACCAAGGACATAAACAGAATTCTGGAGGCGATTCTGAGGCTGCTGTAGGGCATGGTGTTGGAGCTGGTGAGTCAGGCCACACGTGGGTAGTTCAGCGAGAGGAGGTGGCCCAGAGCTTCCTCTTAGAGCAACCAGCCCTAGTATCGAGATGTGGGAAGCTGGGACCTCGAGGGCACCCATTCTCCAACAGTGGGTGGCCTCTACACAGGGGTGGGGGGCGGGGCCGGGGCCAGTCTGGGGGCACTGCTCTCCGGGGACGATCCAATCCTGGAGTCCATTCTGCCCAAGGCAGCCACAGGGCCTGCAGCGGCAGCACCCACCTGCCCCTTCCTCTGCCCAGCCCGAGCCCCACCCTGTCCTGAAGCCCAGGGGCTGAGGCGGTGAGGCCCCGAGGGAGGGGGTGCCTGCACCCTGCCCCCCATCCCCCCTGGATCCTTCCTCTCCGTCCTCAGGGCCTCGGGTCCCTCCCGACAGCCCCCTGCTGGCATTGCATCTCTCCCTGGGAAGCCACCCCCCACATTGCCAGAAGTCCCCAAGAAGACAACACAAAGCGTGCGTGTGGTGTTTATTCCAAGGCCTGGGGCGCAGACACGTCCCCACATTGCCGGCAGGGAACAAGAACGTGGATACAAAATCTGGAAAATGGGGCGGTGGGTCCCGATGGCACCTCCCCCACATAGTTTAAGGCTCAGTGTGTACCTACAGGTACATGTGCAGATGCTCGCGTGCACACGCGTGCACACACAGACGCACGCACGCACATGGCGGCACTTGACACAGAAACAGGCGAGACGCCAGACGGTGCTTGCAGCCTGCCTAAAATATTGCAATTGCGTTTATTGAAAAAGTGTAAAATGGGAGGACCGTGCATCAGTCCCAGCAAAGTGGCAAACCTGGGCTTCCCTGTCCCAGGGAGTGCTGGGGCCCGTGCGGCCGCCCCCTGCGCACCCCTGCCCACGCACGCATAGCTGTGCCCGCTCCCCTTGCCACGCCCAGGCTGTGCAAGGTGAGGGTGGGTTCCATTGGTGTATCATGGGGGTCGCGTGCACACAGCACAGAAGCAGAGTAAAATCCAAATGTTCTCTCCACAGTAGCTCCAGTCTACCCTAGAGTCCGAGGGAGGCCCCTCTTAGCGCGACCCCGGCAACATGGGAGGCTCTCAGGAAGAACAGCCCTGTGCATCAGGACAGAGGAGGCTCTGCAAACCTCTGGGACTCGCGGCTTGCTCCCCCAAAGCTCCCCACTCACCCCTGCTGGGGAGTGACCGCGCAATGCCTGGGCAGGCCGTCCACCCCCACCTCCGGCACTCCCACGGGACAAGCGGACGCTGGACCGGGAACGAGCAGGCAAGTTGACCAGGGGGCGAGAGGCATGACGAAAGCTGCACTTGGCTTTAGCATTAAGGCCGGCACTAGGTGGAGGGTCCCACGGGGAAGGTCAGCACCTCCCCTGGAGGAGCCGGTGTGGCCCCCCAGGTCCCTCCGGCTGTCCCCCTGCCACCGTGGGCCCCTCCGTCCACAGTGGCCACGCTCGCCAGCTCTCTCTGCCTCCCTGGGCTGGCTGAAAGTGCTAGGTGCCTGGGAGGGAGAGGTGGGCCTGGATGCCCACGCTGCCCCCAAAGGGCTCTCATTTGAGGATGAAGTTAATGAGCAGCTGACACGCCAGGAACACACAGAGCAGGAACCAGGATCGGGGGTTCTGCAGGAGGCCTGGTGCCGGCACCTGCCTGGCCCTTGCCGTGGAGCTCAGCATGGCTGAGAGGTGCCTGCAACGACGGGAGGATAGTGGCTGAGCCAGGGTGGGCGTGCATCCCTACCTTCAAGGGATGGCTTAGTATGCAGGGGCCCCCGGGCACAGATTCCAGGGAAAGGGGTTCATGGCTGGGGGAGCTGGGCCTCTTGTAGCCTCTTTTCCACTCCAGCTGTGACGGGCTGAGCTGGACCACCTTGCCCCAATAGTCCCATGTTGGAGTCCTGACCCAACAGGTCAGATGTGACTCTGTTTGGAGAAGGGGTCTTTAAGAAGTGATTCAGTTTAAGTGAGGTCACGGGAGTGAGCTCTAATCCAGTGTGACCGGGGTCCTTATAAGAAAAGGACATCAGGACACAGCCCCGCAGGGAGGGATGACCCCGTGAGGACCCAGGGAGGGCACCGCTGTCCACACACGAGAGAGGCTTCGGGGGAATCCAGCCTTGCCTGCGCCTGCATCCCGGGCGTTGGACCCTGGGACTGGGGGACAGTGAACGTCTATTGCATAAGCCCCCATCTGTAGACTATGTCAGGGCCACACCCAGGACACTCGTATCCTCGCCCTGACTCTGGCTGCACTGTGTGTCTGCAGAAACGTCTGGCTGTTCTCCTGGCTCTCTGCCTCATGGCCAGGCTCCTCTGTGGTGCCAGGGGGCTGACTCACTCTGACTCAAGTACGGCTGGGCCAGCCCATGCCTGGACTTCCGGCCCCCAGCTGCTTTTTCCCTGCACAGAGCTCAGGGACCAAGCATCGCCGGCTCATCCTGTTTAAGCAAGACCCCCTACAGGGTGACACCCCCAACTCCCCCCCCAACCCCCCTACCAGCCTGCCCAGGGTAGAGCTGGCCGCCTTCTTCCTGTCCTCCATCCATCAGACCCTCTGCAAACCATGGGGGTTCTAGTTCTGAGCGACGCACGGCCTCCCCAGCCTCAGCAGCTCCCTGGCCCCGTCCCCGGGAGCGACACTTACCTGTGCAGCTCCTGCTGGGCCTCCCGGATCGACAGGATGGCCTCGTGCAGTGCCTGCAGCCGCTGCGCCTCCTTCCCACACCGTGGGCACGGGCTCCTGCTGCCTGGGATGTCCGGCCACCGGTCACGGGACCCAGGGGACAGGGGGTGGAGGGAGAATCAAAGATGAGCCGGCATGTCCGGGGAGCCGGCATGCAGGGTCCCGGGGTCGTGCCCGGCTTGGGCCCCTGCCCCACCTCTTGGGAGCCCTCAGGTGAAGCTAACAACACGGGGAGTCGAGGGACAGGCATAGAGGGAACCCCCAAGCTCAGCTGGCCTCTAATAAGCCCTGGGAGACAGAAATGGCAAGGCACAGCTCATGCACCTAGAGACGGGGACAAAGTCGGGGAGGAGCTGGCACCCCCGTGAGGACGACAGGAGGCACAATCAGATGGTCATATGGAGAGATGGATACTGTCCAGCCCTGCCCCTTGCACCGCCCCTGCCAGCCAAAGGGGGTGCCGCACCGTCTGAGTGCAGGGCTGGGGACCACTGCCCTCCGCACCCCTGGTCTGCCCCTGGGCTCGGGGAGGCGTGGAGGACCCTGGGAGGATGGTCAAGGTGCGCCACACACCTGCCCAGGGAAGGCGCTTCTCTGGCCTCTCCCACCCTGCAGAGTAGCCGGCCCAGGAGGGCTCACCGGGAATGAAGTTGCTGCCGTCCCCCTCCCCCTCGTCTTCCTCCCCCTCCTCCTCCTCCTCCTCCTCCTCCTCGTCTGAGAGCTCTGGGCAGGACTCGGGTGTGGAGCTGCTCTCGGTGACCTGGCTGTGGCCGGAGGGCTGGTCGCTGGCCTTGCGGAGCCGCCGGTCCGGGCCAGGCCCCTGGAGAAAGACGGATTCACTGCAGCCCGGGGTTCACCCAGGTCCACCACAGCTGTGCCCGCGGCGACGGGACGTGCCGGCCTTGGGGACAGGGCTGCTCTGGAAGACGTGGCTGCGGATGGTTCTGAGTCGGGGGCCGTGACGGCAGGTCCCGTCCCACCGTGTGAGCTGACAGCTAGGCCGCCCCCAGTGCTGAGGCGACCTCTCCAGAGGGACCTCCAGTAGTTCCCCAGAGCACAGGAGTGGCTGCGTGGTGGCCGACTGGAGGGGCTGAGGGGGATGCGGGGGGCATCCAGGTGGGCGGGTGCCTGGGGAGGGGGTGGGGCTGCCCGGCCTGAGGGGCTACAGCAGGTGTTGGGGGGGGGACACATGGGCAGTGAGATACTGTGACCCTTGCTTGCAGGGAAATTGGGGCCACCGGGCAAGAAGGGTCATGCCTGTTCTGCCCGTGTGATCACTGACCTCCCACCATGTGCAGGGGAGGCAGCTGCCCGCACACAGAACCTGTAGTACGGGGGGGTGGGGGGGGAGGGGGGAACTGTCACCCGGTGGCCTCCGCCCACGTGGCACCAGGGAAGACACTCCAGGCTTCCTCACAAGTCTCACCCTGGTGTTTGTCTCGGGAACCCTCTTGCAGGCCTCCTGGAGCCTCCCCGCTTCCGGCCCTGCCTCCCCTCAGCATCCCTGCAAATGCAGGCTCCTCCTTCTCCTGGCTGAGCAAGCCCCCAGGCTGCCCTGAGCCTCAGCTTCCTCCTCTGCAGACTGGCACCGTGTGCTCTTGGCACCACGGAGGGCGGCTCCAGGGAGCAGGGGGCCCCGCTGGCGGGGGGTGAGTGTGGGGGGGGCTACCGAAGGGGGAGGGGCAGGCAGGTAAGGGTGAGGTTGGGAGAGACGGCCTCACCTACAGCCTGACAGTCCCTTCCTACTGCTGAGGTTGAGCCCGGGCAGGGACCCTGGGGGAGCTGACCTGGTGCCTGGGTCCCGGGCTGCCCAGGAAGGTGGTCTGGTGGGCCATGGTCTCCCGCCGCACTGTGTGCAAGACCCCATCTTGCTCAAACTGGGCGATGTCCTTCAGGGGGTCCCAGGGGCTACGGCTGGAGGGTCCAGAGGGCATCCGTTGGCAGGGGCAGTGGCCCTTGGGAGGAGGGGGCCCCATCTCGGCCTGTTCCCAGCAGTAGCCAGAGCCCCAGAGATGACCTACTGCCAGGGCCGGCCAGTGAGCCCCCACAGGAACCCCTCCTCCTCCATCACTTGCCCTGCCAGGGGAGCCCCCCACCGCCGCACTCACTCCTCATGCCGGTAGCGCCACTCCTGGGTGGCGGGGTCCAGCCGGAACAGCTGTGGTTTCCAGGGCATGAGGTTCTGCTGGCGCTCGCGGGTCCACTGCCGCTGCATCTCCTCCAGTGAAGACTTCTCCTGTGTGGCCTTGTGCTGGTCGCCCTCGCCGATGGCCCTGGTGACATGCTGCCAGAGCCTGGGGGTGGGGCACGTGCTCTGAGCAGGTGATCTGGACGGTCCCACCCCCTGGGCGCCAGAGGAGAGGCTTAGAGAGCAACCTCCATTTGCTTGCCTCCAGGGACAGGGAGCTCACTCTCTCCTGAAGAGCCTGAGTGTCTTAGAGCGCTGGTGATTCAAAGTGAGGTGGTACTCCTCGACCCTGAGCTCATACCCCCACTGGCTGGGTACTCCCTGTGGAGCGGCTGGGCATCTGCTGTCCCCAGGCCTCACTCCTTCTCCCTCAGCTGCCCCAGCAGGACATGGCGTCTGTCACAGGGGGTCTCCTCTGGTCCCCCCTCCCTGCCAGGGACACCCCAGCTCATGCTCACTGCACGGAAACCCTGCCCATTCACACCAGGCCTGGGTCCAGGGGTCCGGCGGGTGCCCACGGGCGCCTCACCGCTCCGACTCCAGCTCTGTCTGATCTTCCAACAGCACCGTGTGCCTCTTCAGCCTCTGCCCCCGGACCTCCCCGCTCGGGTTCCAGAAGAGCTCCATGGTTCCTCGGCCCTCCTCCTTGAGGAACACTTCTCGGTCCTGCCCCAGATGGCCCAGGCAGGAACAGAGGGGTTGGCCCCGCAGCTGTTCCTATGCCCATGGGCCCACCTGTGCCTGCCCCGGACCGCATCTCTTACCCAGTGCCCGCTGAGACGTGCCACGACCTCCTCCCCTGACGTGATCTTCCCCGAGATCTGGTTGATGCTGGTGCTGCCCCCAAAGAAAGGCTGTGGGGACACCCCAAGACAGGGCTGGTGAGGGGCCAGCGGCCTCCCCATCACCCTGGCGCCCCGCAGTGAGGTGCCAGCTCTCAGCCCCCGGGACATGGGAGGCCGGCTAGGCTGGGACCCAAAGCTGGAGGCTGCCACACTCGCCCAATGCCTCAGCCTGAGCTCAAGGATGCAGGGGGCCTATGAGGCCTGTGTGCCCCACGGCTGGGAAGGGGTCTGGGCCTGTCCTGGCTCTGCTGTGTGGCCTGCAGGAGCCCCTTCCTCTCTCTGGGCCCTGCCTATGCTACGGAGATGCCAAGAGCTGCCCCCTCCTGAGTGCACCTGCTCCAGAAACCATCCCTGGGGTGTGCTGCAGCTAGTGCTACCTTGAGCTTGAATTCCAGCTCAGCTTGAAAGTTGGTCTTCTCACACTCGATGGTCACTCTCCCGCCCAGCTCCATGGTCATGGTGCCATACAGGATCCCTGAAACAGTCTCCTGCTCAGTCCTGGCACTGCGTACCCACACAGCACCGCTGACCCTGAGGAGGCCGGTGTCAGAGCCTGGGGAGGAGGACAGGAGCCCCCGGGGGCAGAGTCCCTGGGACGGAGAGGAGCTGGTGGGGGCGGGAGGCAGAACCCGGCCCACGCATGTTTCCTCAGTGACCCTCTGCCCCTAGGGCCTCTGCCCCTGAGAGTTGCTCTGTCCGGGGAATGTCCCACCCTTGGCAGTTTCCTTCCTCCAGAACGCCCTTTCCAGGCTCCCAGGGGCCCCACTGCCCCCATGAGACGCTCATTACCGTCTGTCATTTGCTCTGTAGTTCGGGCCCCAAGGTGGGCTCCTCCACCTTCCCTGCTCGCTGCTGCGCCCAGGACTGGCCCGGAGTGTTTGTTCAAACTAATACATGCATTATACATATTTATTAAAGATTACACTCATCTATTTATTTGACAGAGAGCACAAGAGCAGGGGGTAAGGGCAGAGGGAGAAGCAGACTCCCCGCCGAGCAGGGAGCCCAATGCGGGACTCGATCCCAGGACCCCAGGATCATGACCTGACCTGAAGGCAGATGTTTAACCGACTGAGCCACCCAGGCATCCCTAATACAAGTATTTTTTAATTAATGAAAGAAAGAACGAATCTTCTGTTTCTTGCCATGTGGAGGACTTAATCTAACTAGAGAGAAGAGCTGTGTGTATTATAAAACACTTGGACGTGTGGGATAAAATGAAAAGATAAAAAAGACAAGCCAAGGGAAAGAGCAGAAGGGCTGGGAGTGCCCCCACCAGTACACAGGATGGGAGCCCTGCGCTCCTGCGTGCGTCTTGCCTGGGGAGCCATCCAGGATGCTCGCACCAAGTGGGAGAGGCAGCTGGAGCGCAGGGGATGCGGGGATCGAGAGAGAGAGAGAGAGAGAGAGAGAGAGAGAGAGAGAGAGAGAGAGAGAGGGAGAGGGAGGTGCCAGCTTTCTCTGACTACACCTGCTTTTGTAGTTTCGAACTTTGGATCCAGGTAAATACTGCATTTCCATAATTACCTACAAAATGAAATTACAAAAGCAACTGGGAGCAAAAGGAAGATGAAACAAAACAAAAAGGAAGTGGGTATATGCCTGGTGGTGTGATCCTGGAGGGGGGTTATTCCTGCCGAGTTTGCAAATCCCAGTGGGGTATGCTTAGGACAAAGCAATCCCCAAAAGGAAATGGCTCAGGCTGTTTGCAGCCACCGCGTCTTGGGGGGAGGGCTGGTTAGTGTTACTCTGTGTGTGTGAAATGGCTAAGGGAGAGTAACCACAGCCCAGAGCAGTGTTGTTTACAAAGGGGCTTTCCCTCCAGGGTTGGGGGTGGTGAGGGGGGAAGCAAGGGGGGAGGGGGGAGACGGTTCAGCTGTCAGGCCAATGGGTTACCAGACACCCGCCCTCTTGGATCCGGATTGGAAACCTGTAAATTTTAATCTTAAAAAAAAAGAGGCTTATGTTTCTTTTACTGGAAAGTTCTAGAAACAATGACAAAACCACTCTCAAGAAGCAGATCCGGTTTGCGGTCTGTGCCAGGAAGTGGGCGCTTGAAGTTGAAAACATTTTGTCAGACAACTTTCCGGGCTAGGAAGTCATCAAAGAGCCGGGGGAACACTCAACAAACAGACGAGGATGAAAGCGCCCCCGCCGGCTGGGGCTCTGCCCTCCTGGGGGGCGGGGGGGCTCTCACCTTTGCAGTGGGCGTAGGGCATGGTGAGGGTGTAGTCCTCTGCCAGGTTCAGGAAGGTGAGTGTGGCCTTGCCGTCCAGCAGGGCCGACAGCGAGTTCCCTGGAGAGGTGGGGTGGTGGTGGGTGGGACCAGTGAGCAGACACAGGACCTCAGGACCTGGGGGCCCACCCCCTAAGTCACACGGTCTGAGCTCCCTTCTAGCAGGTGCAAAGCATCCCCGGTCCCGCCAGCCAGGTGACCATGAGGCAGCTGGGCCTCTCACCTAAGCTGTGGGTCACTTCACCTCCCTGAAATTCAGATTCTGGAAAAGCGCCCCGACCCAGGGCGGACAAGGCTCGGCTCCCAGGGAGGGCTTCTGAGGCTGGAGGCTACATGCAAACCCCTGATCTGATTGTTACCCCCCCACCATGGAACTTCTGTGGCCCCAGAACTGTTCCGCTCTGTGCTGACACAGGGACCACTAATCACGCATGGCCACACAGCACGTGTGATGTGGCCGGGCCAACTGCGCAGCGGTGTCTTACTTTGGATCAATCTAAAAGCCACACGTGGCTTGTGGCGCCTGTTCACTTGGGTTCTCGCCCACAAGCGGTGCCCTCCCTATGGCTCAGGGGTGGGGGGCCCGCGGGCTCTGCCTGGCTCCAGGTCCCTGACCCAGAGAGGTGGGGAGGGAGATAAACCTGGCCACCGCATCTGGGGGCCCAGTCCTCCCCCCATCTCCCCCAGGCCCCCGGAGATCCCAGGGGAGGCCCGCCCCCCACTCACCGTAAAACCGGGACTTAGCCGCGATGCTGCCGCTAATGCAGAAGCCGTCCTTCCGGTTGCTGACGTGGAAGGCGGACACGGGAGGGTGGTGGGACACCTGTGGGCAGAGAGGTGCTCTGGAATGGCCCCAGGGGAGGAGAGAGCCCGGCTCCCTGGTGAGAAGCCCCCTTCCCCCTGCCCCACCTCGGCCCTCTGGGCCGCTCGGCGTGGGGCCATTCCCACTCTCACGCCTGCTGCCTAGGGAAGCGGACACTGAGTCGTGGGCCTGGTAGCCATCTGCAGAGTGCCCTGGGGGGATGGGATGTACGGACCCCGCCCAAGGAAACCCTTCCTGCTGTCACAGTGCTGGCCCTGCATCTCCTGGGGGAATCCTGATGGGCGGGGGTGGGGGGGGGCACCCGGAACGCGCACAGGGCTCAGACTCTGCCCGCCGAGGAGCCCGGTGTCCAGCCTGGGGGCGGCGGGGGCCTTGCCTGCTCTGCTATGTAGAAGGTGTGGCTGTTGGTCTGGGGATGGAACCAGCAGCAGCGGAAGGTCTCCCCCAGGATGGGGTTGTAGGGCTTCTTGATCCCCTGCAAGCAACGAATGGAAAGCTCATGTGAGGAATGGGTGGGCCACGGACCCACATGGGATGGGGTGTGGACCAAGGGGCAATGTGGGGGACTGGCTGCCCACTGCCCACACCCCCAGGTGCCCACAGGGAGGCAGTCTCTAGACGGGAGGGCCTGGTTTGCCACCAGCACCTGGGGACTGCACCCCACTGTGCTCTGGGGAGAACATGCTTTGCCCATGGTTCACATTCCAAGGGGCAGCCTATGAGATGTCCTGTCTGGTTCTTGGCTCCCAGGGGGACCTGAGACCCTCCCCAGGTCGTGCTGTCCCTGGACTTTGGACGGAACTGGTGCACAATCTGTTCAAGGCCCCAGTGGCTTCTACTGACCGTTTCATAAAATCCCAAATCCCGCAGGCCTGCTCCCCAGTCCCCTGCCTCCCCTTCAGCCCCACTCACCTTTCTGCTCCCCAAATGGCCCAAGTTCATCCCCACTGCGGGGGGAGCAAGCTCCCCCCACTCAGGAGAGCCCTCCTTCTGGGGCTCAGACCCCCTGATCTGGTCGGAAGCAGCCGGCTGACCCTTCATGCCACCCGCCAGGCGCATCACTTCCAGCTGCGTGTGTGCGTGTTGTGTGTGTGTGCGCGTGTGCACACACGTGTGCGCTTCCCCCTGGAGACGAGGCTCTGTGAGCACTCAGTGCCTGCAGATGCCCGGGGAGGACACCTGCCGCTGCCCTTGTGAGCCGTGTCTGCGCTCGGGCCTACGTGTGACTCTGGGCCCGTCACTCGCCCACCCCTGCCCGCCCCCCGGGCCTCAGTTCCCCACATGCACAGTGAAGTGGAAACAGAATGATGCTTTCACACTCACACAGCACGGAACCCCGGGCGCCACAGCAGCCAGGGGAGGGGGCGGGGCTGCGGGACCCTCCTGTCACTACCTCCCCCCTCCCCCCAGCACCCTGTGCTCAGCAGAGCCTTGAGTTTCGGGTTCTCAAAAAGGTGTCTATGACTATGAGACACACCATGAAAACCACAGGTCCCAGGGGCTCCTCCAGGTGCAGGGTCGAGAGCCCCTTTCCCAGCACCGCTGTGTGTGGTCGCTGTTTCTCTGAGGTGTGGAGGTCCCGCTTGGGCCCTGCAGGGAACTGGGACCACCCCTGTGGGCCTGGCCTGGCTAGGAGGTCCCTGGGTGGTAGGTCAGGGTGCTGCCTCCCATCTCTGAGGACCAGGGGCCACAGTGGGGACCGTGTGGGGTCAGGGTGGCCCCAGGCTCTCCGAGGGGCAGGGAGGTATGGGGCCGGGGGGACGGCGCGCTGGGCCTCCGCTCTTACCTTGGGCTTCTTGTAGAAACCAGACAGGTACCACCGTAGCACCAGCTTGATGCGGCTGTAGGCGTCCCCCTGCAGAGCAGCCCTGGGACAGCATGGGGGAACGACTCACTCCGGGCCGGGTCCCCGGCCACCCTCTTCCCTGTGCTCCTTCTAAATCCTGCCCTCCACCCGCTGTCACCTGGGCCCCTCCTGTCCCGCCCAGCCCCGGGGCCGTGGGGAGTCTCCCACCCTCTCACAGGGACCCGAATTCTCCACCTAACCAGAGGGCCTGGGCAGACAGGGCGTTGCTGGCTCAGGGCTGGCAGCGGGGCTCCGCCTTCAGGAAGGCCTCTGGGAGCTCCTCTGCACGGGCTCTTCCCAGCCTTTCCAGCCTTCGGGCTTCAGCTTGAGGGCACCGAGGCCAGGGCCCAGAACTCAGGACGCTAGAAGGTGCTAGGGGCTGCCCCACACTCACCTTTGATGGCGGAGGCCCTGACCTGACACACAGCTGCCCCCCCCCCCCCCAGCTGCTCCTCGTCTTAGAGACCGGGCCCACTAGCAGGCTGAGCCAGCAGGGACCATGGACGGAGCTCAGCCCGGGGCCCCAGGGCCCCTTCGGAAACATCCATGGTGGGGGCAGGGGGGCGGGCAGGGGCCGAGGGAGGCTGGGGTCTGTGGTGTGCACAGGTGCGTGGGGCACCCCCCGCTCGCTCACCTGGACAGCAGGTCGGCGTGGTAGTAGTAGTCAGAGAGTTTGTCGAGGAAGGAGCGGGGCTCTAGGACGAACGTGGGCAGCACCACGCGGGACAGGTCCATGCCCGGCCGCAGCTGCCTCAGCAGGACCCACATGAGACTCTTGTTCTCTTCCGACACAGTCTCTACCTGGGACGCCTGGCCCAGCTGCCGGCAGAGGGGCTGCGGTCGGGCCCCAGCTCCGCGCCGCCCGGGGAGCCGCCAGGCGGGGTGGGACAGCGGCGGCTGGCTCTGGCTGCAGGAGGCGCCCTCCGCGGCCCGGCCCCCGCTGCCCGGCCAGCCAGTCCTGCCCTGTCTGACCCCTGCCCTCCCTTGGCAAGGGTCCCGTCTCTGCCCAGAGGGGCCCGTGCGGGCCCAGGCCGGCTCCTGAGGAGGCCTGGAGCTGGATTCGGGCACAGGAGGCAGGGGGTGTCCGGGCTGCCCGTGCACCCCCTTCCTGCTCCCTAGGCCTCCTCCTTTGGCAGTGGCCCCTGGGCACCCACACCGTGGGCGCCCCTGCCTCACAGAGGGGACGGCTGACTTGCCCAAGCTCACAGAGCTGGCATGAGGCAGAGGTGGGTGTAAACTCAGGGCTGTTTGTGGCCCGACGGCAGCCCCCCCCAGGGAGGAGCAGTATCCGTCACCACCCTGCTGGGCCGCCTTCAACAAGGTGCTTTGCCTCTCTGTGCCCGCACGCCTGTCCTGAGGTCTCCTGCCGGGTCTCCCAAGGTTCCCCTGTGGAGCCGAGCCTCGTCTGTGCTCAGCCTCTGAAGGGTCCCTCGGGCTGCCCACTCTCTGCCCCCTGCCCCTCGCGGGCACCATTTCCCCCATCACGGGCCCGTCCCTACTCCCAGCTGCCAGCCCCACGGTGCTGTCAGAGGCGAACCGGGACCTGTCCGTCCACCTCCCATGTGTCCTGAACCCCCAACCTGGCCCTTCTCCATGGCTACCTGGGACCAAGGCCTCCGGGGAACCGCTCCTCCCTAGCAGGCCCGGGGCTTCTCCCTCCGCCCCTTGGCCTTCTGAAGGCCTCACCTGGGCCCCAGGGGTCCCCGCCTAACCCGCCCCCCAGTGGTTTTCCCAACACCCTCAGCCGAGCCCTCACGGACCACCTGTGCTCCCCGAGTCATTGCCACCCTGATCTGCTCCCCCAGTCCCTGGGGTGCTACAGGCTCCCCCCACCGCCCAAGGGGCCGGCCAGGCTCTGCAGCCTCCGTCTGCTTCAGGGAGGCCGGTGAGGTACAGGGGGACACCCAGCTCCCCAGGGGGGTGGGCTCTCACCTCCCCAAACTCCTCGTGGACCTGCTCCACGTACGTGGTCCCCCTTGGCGCGGGGCCCTCCAGGGCCTCTGACCGGGCGCTCCCGCTCTCGTTGGTCCTCCCGCTGCGGTCCTGAATCTCGTTATCCGACTCCTCGGCGTTCTCCCTCTCTGACTTGTCTGAGAAAGCGTCGTTCTCCAGGGAGGACCCGTTCAGCCTGGAGGGGCAGATGGCGCCGTGGGTCCCCGGTCAGAGGCGTGGCCCGAGCGCCCCCACCCCTGGGGAGTGAAGGAGGCCTGCCTCCTGATCTGAGGTTCGGGTGGCCAGACTCCACGGTGCTTGGCCCTCCCGCCCACATACAAGGAGACCACATATTAGTCCCAGAGACAGCCAGGGTCCTGGGGGTCCCCAGCAGGAAGGAGACCTGGGCTTCTGGGAGGGGCCAACCCTTGCCCACCACGCCCCTGCTCACGGGCACAGATCCTGGTCATGGATGGCGGCCGAGGGGGGCAGCCCATAGAGTGAGGGGGGTGATGCATCTGGCGAGGATCCGGGCTCCCCGTCACGGCCCTGCTTGCACGTGCTGAGTCGCAGGAGGCTGGAGCATCGCAGGGCCAGCTCCAGGGCGTCCAGCCAGCAGCGGCCTGCAGGGCGGCACGGGGTGAGCCCACTGCAAGCCCGGGGAGGCCCCCCTATGCCAGAGACACCCCTGTCCCTTCCCCATCCTCCTGGGGCACAGGCACTGCTGCCATGTAGGTGTGCATGCATGTGGGGGGGGGGGCAGATGTGAACAAGGACAAGGCCTTAGCCTGCAGGTCCGAGTCAGAAAGAGATGCATGCCTGGAGGAAGATGCCCTTCAGAGGATGCTCATGGCACTCCCTCAAGGTCACACCTTAGCAAGACTCAGAGCCTCAATTCCACCCGGACACCTGTAGCTTCTGTATATGGAGTTGGGGAGGAGGGCCCTACGTCATGAGAACTGCCTGCCACGGGTCTCAGGGGGCACGGGGGCGGGGGTGCTCCACGGGCCTGCAGCACAGACCCGGAGGGTGGGTGGCGGGCTGGGGAGGGGGCTGGAGCGTCGTGGAGGGAGGGCTGGCCAGGGCCTGAGAGAGGCAGCTCCAGAGGGTGGAGAGCGGATGGACCAGGAGGGCAGTGGGTGACCCCGACGCAGAGCCGGTCGAATCCTCCCATCCCTGCTGCCTTCCCGGTGGAGGCTGCCAGAGGGTTCGACCAGCACCACCTCCTTGTCCCTGGGGGTGTTAGCAGCTTTGGGGACACGTGTCCACCAAGGTGCCCCCCCGATGTCCCGGTGTGATTACTAATGGCGGCCCCTCCACTCAGAGGCGTTGCCCCATTAAGTGTTCTTCTGGGGAGCACGGCATGGGGCCTGGCATGGGGAGGCAAGTGTTTGCAGGGATGGTGGCCCTGGTTCTACAGGGTTTCACTGCAGGCCCAGCCTGAGCTGAATGTTCGTGGGGCAGAGGAGGGGGTGACAGGAGCAGGCCCTGCAGGGGCACGCTTCGTGGTTACCACAAAGGACTAGACACCCTGAATGCTCTGCATCCTTTGAAGCCCCCTCCTCATCCTCCAGGAAGCCCACCCTCATACCCACAGGGTCTGTGGGCCCTCCCTCCCTGCTCATGGCCCTCAGCCCATCAGGGACCCAGCTCATGCCTCAGCCCCATCGGCCTCGTCTGACAGCTGATTTTCTCTCCACGAGACTGCGGGCACCCAGAGCACGGGCAGTCCCTCCTGGAGCGTGGATGTGGCGTCTGTCCACCAGGGAGTGGTGTGGCACCAGCAGGCAGGCCACCAGCCCCAGGCTCTGGGCCCCGAGGGCCTGGAAGCGGGCAGCCGCATTTACCCGAGGCAGCCACTGGAGGGCGCTCCAACAGCGTGCTCCGCATCTGGGGCACTTCGGATCCCCACCCGGGCCTGGCCCTCCTTGCTGGCAGGTGGCCGGGGCCCCGTTTTTGTCATATATTACATGTAGATGGTAACGGCAGAACCCACCGATTCAGGGGTGCCCGGCAAGCGCTTGGCACACAGTAGCTGTGATCTGCAGACTTTAAATCAGGTCATCAGGTTGTCCTGACAAGTGGGGAGCTGGGCGCTACTATTCATGGTTTACTTTGGGGAAACTGAGGCTCAGGGAGGTACTAGCAAGAGGCAGGCCTGCCTGGCCCGAGCCCGGACTTGTCCCGTGGCATCTGGCCATCTCCTTTCTTCGGGGGCAGTGGAAGGGACTGATAGTGGTCATGTGCACCGGTTTGTAAGTCGGCCAGGGCACCCACGGCGTGCAGGGTGTCACCAGGGAGACCCGCAGGGCAGGTAGGGACTCACCGTCCGACTCAGAGGCGGCCCTGAAGATCAGGTAGCTGCTGGGGAGGGGCTGTGTGATGGAGCCCACACTCTCACCCTTGGGGCCCTGGGGAGACAGAGACCCGGCATCACGTCGGAGGACACCCAGGTCACGCGGACTCACACAAACCCCCACTGACACACACGTGGCTGCAGGCCCTCCAGGCACCCGGCAGCAAGAGAGGAGAGGGAGCTGGTGGCTCCGTCCACGGCTCTCTAGCTCTGGAACTCCCCGTTTTAGCCTGGCCGGAACCAGCACACGCACGTTCAAGATGCCCACTTAAATTCAAATCTCAGGAAAGAATACGGCTTTGTCCAGTAGGGGTATAGCCCATGCAATATTTGAGACATACTTATACTAAAAAGAACTATTCGGTGTGTGTCTGAAATCCTAATTTAACTGGACATTCTGGATTTCATCTGGTAACCTGACTCCCGTTGGTCCTGGGCCGGGCAGCTCCCGGTTAGGAGGCTGGGTCAGGAGGCTGGGTCGGGGAGGTCCGGGCTGGGAGCAGCTGCTCACACGGCCCCGTCCGTCAGCCCCACTGAGGATCCACCTGGGGGGGCCAGGGACCATATCTGATCCCCAGCCCCCGAGAGACCCACCCCACGGCCCCCTGCAGCTGGGTGGTGGTGGGCCCACCCGGAACCCCGAGGTTCGCCTCCTGGTCACCCCCCAGTGCCTGCCTCCCACACGGTGTTCACAGGCCTCACTCCTCCCCTGGGGCCCGACCCGTACCTTCACGGCCCAGACGGACTGGTCCAGGGGGTGGAAGAGCTTGAAGCAGAAGCCGTCCTTCTTGGAGGGCCGCTCGATGAGCTCACAGCAGTGCAGCAGGACCGTGCCCACCCACTGGCCCACCTTGGGCGTCTTGTAGATGAGCAGTACCCCCGGCTTCAGCACGCACCACAGTTTGGTCCAGCTCTTCAGGGTCCCCCGGATCTGCGGGGAGGGGCGCCGCTGTCGGGGAGGCCGACACCCCAGGGGCACCTGGACAGTGTGGGGGCGGCGCTGGGTGGCGGGCAGAGTCCTCTTTTAGCTGGTACAAGGAGCACATAAATGACAGCGAATCCAGAGAAATGCACTGAAGCCAGGAACGGATTTACTGGGGAGGCTCAAGGCCAGGGTCAAGGCCCTCCCGGGGTCCTGGGAGGAGCCAGCCACAGATGTGACTGTCGTCAGCTCTGCAAATCGTGAAACCTGTCATTTCTTTTCTCATTCCAAAGAAAAAAATTCACTTTTGTACCTCATTTTTCATTTGTAATTTTGTGGGGGGAAGAAAAGGAGCCCATGGGGGCCCAGGTCCTCGGCAGATGACCAGGTGCTGGTAGGCCTGTCCTGTTGGCCCTCTGAGGCAACCCCAGGATTTGGCAGCTTTCCCTCCACCACGGGGGGCATGGAGACAAGTCCCCGGGGCTCAGTGAAGTCTGAACCCCAACCCGAGAAGCCAGAGTGCAGCCTCCCCCGCTCCGTGCCCCAACCCGGGGCTCCGTGCGCATCCTGGGACCCCATCTACGGGCCAGGGACTCCCACCTCAACTGGACATAGGATCTCTGCAGATTTAAGGAGGTGAAGATGAGGCCACATTGAAGTGGGGTGCCATGTGGGCATAGACACACAGGGGCCACGCGAAGGCAGAGGGTGGAGGGGCGCGTCCAGTAGCCCAGGGAAGCCCGGGGCCCCCAGAAGCTGGAGGAGCAGGAAGTGTCCCCCCTTAGCGCCTCCGGAGACCGAGGGCCCTGCCCACAGCTCGATGTCAGGCGCTGGCCTCCAGAACTGGGGGACAGTGGGTCCCGAAGCCCCCAGCTCGTGGTCCTTGGTCAGGGCCGCCGCAGGACACTCATACAGATCACAGTCCCAAAGACGCCGAACTGCCTCCTGACTGCAGAGGTGGCCAAGCCCGGAAACACACCTGCCCGCCCCGCTTACCTTGAGGCTGTCAGCCATGATGACCACGCTGGGGTCCGTCAGGGCGCTGAACAGCTGCTTCGTGGCTCGCTTCTTCTCCTGCCGGTAGTTCTCTTTCTGTGCCTGGACCCCGGGCACCCAGCGGGCAGGTCAAGGGACAAGGCCCGGGCTGGCCCCTGCCCCGGCTCCTCCCACCCGCCACGCCCCCACGGTCCAGCCCAGGGTGGGGGGTGGTGAGGACAGGGGCCGGGAGAGGAGAGGAGAGGACGTGGCAGGGGGGGGGGGCGGGGAGGTGGCCAGGATGTGGCCTGCCCCCTCCCTTTGGCAGGCTGGGGTGTGGTGGACCTCACTGGCCCATTCCTCTGGCACATGACATACTTGTGTCCCCTTCCTGGGCCCATGCGCACCTTGAGAGCTTCCTTCTTGGTGACCTTGGCTGTTGGGGACACACATTCCTTGTCGGACCCATTGTACAGCCTGTATTCTGCCTGCAAGAGAGACTCAAGTGGGGGGCAGAAGGGCCTCAGTGTGCGGTCTGGGGCTGCGGAGGCCTGGGGGGCGGCCGGCGGGGCTTGAGATCTGAGAAAGGTGCTCCTGTTCCTCACCACGCAACACCCTCAGTTCGGCTCACCAGCGATGCGGAGGGTGGGGGGTACAGGAATGGAGGACTCGGGGTAGCCAAGGACAGCATGTGGGCGGGAGCTCAGAGGTGCCCGGGAAGCGTCCACCCCAGCCACCGCCATGTGCCCAGCCTCTGGGCGGGGGGCCACACTACAGTGCGGACTCTCCACCCTGGTGCCCTGGCTGCTGCTGAGTGTGGGTCCCATGCCCGGACGCTCTCCGGGGCCTGCCCACGGCTGCGGGGAGCCAGGTGGACCGAGGAGACGGCTGGACGCGCTCTGTGGACCGAAGAGCAGCAATCAGGGGTCTGGGGCTGGAAGGGGCCGTGGTCCTTTAACAGATGGGGAAACTGAGGCCTGGGGGTGGTAAGGGTAGCCAGGAGAGGAAGCAGGACTAAGGGACTAGAGGCAGGGCAGAGCAAAGCATGGCCTGAATCCTGCCCTGCACCTGTTTCTGTTCAGCCTGTGAGCTCGGAATAGTTTTGCATTTTTAAGTGGTTGAAAAAAAAGTCAAAAAAATAATATTTTGTGAGACATGAAAATCGTATGATTCGTGGCTCCTTTTTCTGTGACGGCAGCGTGAGTACTCGAGACAGAGCCTGGGTGACCGCGAAGCCGCACAGACTTGCTCTCGGACTCGCCCTCGGTCCTTTCCCGAAAGAGTCGGCCCGCCCAGCCCTGCTCTCTGGGCGGCGTGCCCGGGGGGGTTCTCGCCAGCGCCGCCCTGAGCCCCCAGGCAAGGGAGGAAGGCCCAGTAGCCTGAGCCCATGGCCTGCAGGAGGCACGGGCCCAGTCATTGTCCCATTTGACTGAATGGGAAACTGAGGCCCAGAGAGGGTAAGCAGCTGCCCGAGGCTGCGAGCCAGGAAGCGGCAGGGCTGGGATTCGCATCGTCCGGCAGGCCGGTCGTCCCCACAGCGCCATGTGCCAGGCACGGCATCGGGCACTGGGGCTGGAAAGGAGAGGCAGGCCACCCGTGAGTCCCAGAGCTGCCACAGCCGGGGCTCACTCTCATCCTCCACATCCCGCAGATGAGAAAACTGTGGCTCAGAGAGGCTCAGAACCTGCCCGGGGTCACACAGGTCATGAGGCGCCGAGCCGGGACTGACCGCAGGAGAGATGCGGGTGTGGTGGGGACTCTGCTCTAGAAGCAGTCTTGGAGCTGACGCAGAAGTGTGGGCCAGACGCTGTCCGGTGGCAGGTCTCTGGGGGCCGGGGCTGACCCACAAAGGTGCTCCCAGCGGTCCTCCTGGGGAGTGCCCCGGCCCGGAATGCTCCTCCCTGTAGTGGGGAAGCCCCTGCTCCCTCCTCAGGCCCCACCCAGCCACTCCCTAGGGGGAAGACAGCCCCCCTGCCCTGCTGGCCTCAGACCTGAGGACGCTACACCTGCCCTTGGCCACCTAGCACCTCCTGTGATGACGGTCACGAGGACCAGGATGCTTGTCGTCTACGACGCCCGCCCAGGGCAGGGACATCCCAGCACACCCCAGGCACGGCAGCGGGGAGCCCGGTAAGCATCTTGCACGAATGAGCGAGTGAGTGAGTGAACCTGGGGCCCAGCTCTCCTCCAGGTGTGCTCAGGGCCTGGGGACCTGGGGGCCTGGAGGCAGGATGGAGCGTCTGTGCCCTGCATCCCTGTGGGCCTCAGTCCTGCAAGGCCACTCGGGCTCTGGTCACTGCAGCCCTGCCCGCCAGCTCTTCTGTCCTCAGGGGCACCCCGGGACCCTGGCCAGCCCTGGGTCCCTCCGCGCCCTCCTGCACGCTGCTGCACATCAAGACGCAGCGGGATAACACAGCGCACTCACACTCGAGAAGCACGGCTCAGAGCCAGGACCCCCAGCGTCTGACCACAAATGCGCAACCTCTGAAAGTGACTTCCAGAAGCCGTTTAGGACGACCTACAGAACAGGACTGCATTTGCAATCACACACCTGACAAGGGTCTGGTGTCTAGCATATATAAAGAGCTCTTACAACCCAACAATAAGGACAAACAACACAATTCAAAGATGGGCAGAGGACCTGAACAGACGTTTCTCCAAAGGAGTCCTATGATGGTCGAGAAGCACACGCACAGATCATCAGTCATTAGGGACACGCAAATCAGAACCACAGAGAGACACCACCGCATACCCACTGGGACCACTACAACAGCGATTAAGGAAAAACCCAGAGAATCTAAGTGTGGTGCGGTTGTGAGAAAGGGGAGCCCTCCCTTATCGCCGGTGGGGTCGTAAAACGGTGCAGACACTGTGGGGGGGAGTCTGGCAGCTCCTCAAGAAGTTAAATACAAAATGCTTGTGAATTCCACGTGACCCCGGAGTGACCACCTGGCCCGCAATCCCGGGAGCTCTTAGGGGCTCCAACACGGTCACCGGAGCTGAAGAATGAAGACAGCCCAGATGCCCACCAGCAGGTGAATGCACCAGCCAGGGGTGGGCCGTCCACACCTGGGATATGACTCAGCCCTAAACAGGACCGGGGCATGGCTACATGCCACGACACAGGTGAATCTCAGAACACGTTGCATGATTCCATCGCCACGAAATGTGCAGAACTGGCAAGTCCACGGACACGGGAGGTGGCGTCAGGGCCACGGGGCTAGTAAGGGAGCGGGGAAGGCTCTCACGGGGTTTCAGGCTGGGGGACGGGAATGTTCTGGAACTAGACAGAGGTGGTAGTTGCACGGCACGGCAAACGCACTGAATGCCCTTGAACTGGGCACTTAAAATGGCTGGTTTTAGAATATCTGAATTTCACTTCACAAAAAATACAGCCCCTCTATTAGCTTGTGTCTTTTCCCAAAGCTGGGTCTCTCAAAGCAGCCCCAAGTCGCCCTTAGGAATCTGGGGGTGTATGGAGCTTTCTCCCCCCGCCCCCGGGCTCTGACGTGTTGCAGGTTTAACTCGTTTTGTCTGGAGCGGTCTTCCCCCCCCAGGACACCGTGCTCTTCTCACGCCCTCCCCCCGCACCCACCGCCCTGCGTGCGGCTCAGGCGCCGCTCAGACCTAATTACCGAATGGATGGGATCTGAAGTTCGAACCAAGTCACATGTTTGTGACGGTGTTTGTATGTTATATTGGGTCATAGAAGGACACAACTATGTTTTTGGTGTTTTTATGCCAGAAGCTTGTATCTTGAAAAAATAAGTAATCCAAGTGCCAACTGACGGATGAATGGATCAACAAAATGTGGTCCATCTAAGCAACGAATATTCCTCAGTCTTAAAAAAGGCAGGACATGCGGACACCTGCCACAGTGTGGATGGACCCGACGTGATGCTGAGTGAAATAAGCCAGTCATGAAAGGACAAATACTGCAGGATTCCCCCCACATGAGGTCCTTAGTCTCCAGATTCACAGGGAACAGAGAGTGGACGGTGGGCGCCGGGGCTGGGGGAGGGACGGGGGTTGGTGTCTCATGAGATGGAATTTTGATTGGGGAGACAGAACGTTCTGGTCATGGATGGAGGACAGCTGCACAACAGTGGTAATGTGCTTAATACCCCTGAGCTGTGCACTTAGAGATGGATAGGTCGGTAAATTTGAGGCATGTCCATTTTACTGCAATGAAAAAAGAAAAAAAAATAATTAAATAAAAATAAGTCAGTAAATAAATATGCTCTGGTTGCTCCTGCAGCAGTTGGCAGCCCTGGGGCCCAAGAAGGGAAAAAGGAAATGCAGGCTCCGGAGTGGGGGGTACCCACCAAAGGTTTGGTTTCTTCTCCGCCTGAGGCAGACACGGGACAGACCATGAGAACCACAGCAAGCCCTCCTTTGATGGACGAGGGCATGAAGTCCCAGAAGAGTGAGGCAGTCGCTCGGGATCACACGGGGGGCGGCAGGTGGCTGGGCAGGGGGTGAACCTGGGGTCTGTCTGCGCTGCTCCCCAACCCCATTGCCGGAACCCAGAGCCACCAACCTCCGTCAGTGTGTAGGGGCCACGGCTGCCCCGGCCTGAGACCCTCTGGGGAACAGAAGGGTGTGCCTAAAACCCTGCAGGCGGTGCCCGGGGCCTCGGCACCCTCCCAGGACCCAGGTTCTGCCTGGAGTGGCACAGCCGGGCCGGAGCCAAGAGGGGCTGGCCTGGGAAGCACGCAGGGGTGGGGGTGGGGGTGTGTGTGTGTGTTTCCAGAACTCAGCACCCCTCTGCAGAGGGGTGTACCTGGTGGAGGGAACAGCAAGGCAAAGGCAGAGGGAGGGAAGGCTCAACCCTCGGTGGTTTCCCTACAACAGAAGGACTCCAAGGCCTCCTCTTACAGTGTTTCCTGTCCCTAAATGCCACCGAGCAGCCCACAGTCCTTCTCCAGCCCCAGCCTCCCTGGACTGTGTTATGCCAAGAAGGGGGCTCCAATAAACCAACTAACAAGCACTGTTTGTGACTCTGTCCGTCGTCCCAGCCTCCCCAGATGCAGGGTTCAGAGCTGCCCCTCCTGGCACATGCGGGCTGGGGGTGGCAGGCTAGGCCCGGTGCCCCGTTCCTCCCGCCAAGCTACTTTCCATTGTCCCCTGGGCAGACTCCCTGTGCCTGAGTCCTCCCGTGGCGAGGCTCTTACCGGTGGCCCCTTTGTGGCAGAGCCTGGGGTCGGGGGCCCTTCATCCCTCGGCAGCGATGGGCCATTGGGCTCCACGTCCTTCCCTGCAAGAGAGGGGCCAGAGTGGGGACCAGGGCACGGCAGGAGGGCTGGTCCCTCCGGCTGGCCACCCCGAGTGAGACACGGCCCTCCTGGGCAGGGCAGGACGCCAGCTGAGAGATCTAACAACACCAGCCAGGGTCCCTACAGGGAGGGACTCAGGAGTGGAGGCCCAGCTCCCACGACCTGTAGGAGGAGCCCAGGCACCTGGGGGCGCTGGTGCAGCATGTCTTTTGGGGTCCCATAAGGCCAGGCACCCTGCTTTCAGAGGAAGACTGCGATGTCCAGGTTCTGAGGCACATGGTGGGTTCAGGGTGCCTGGACCACGGCTAGCCTTCCCTCCCGCCCTGACCCTCTGGGAGCTGGGCTCTCAGAGGGAGGTAGCCGGACACGGTCCCTGTACCCCGACCTGGCAGGTGTCTGGATTCAATCTGGGGGGAAACAGTCACCCTTCCCTAGCTCCATCGATTTTGAAGAGGGTTGCCAAAGCTCAGGTTTACGGGCAGGGGGACGAGGGCTGGGCTCAGACCTTACAGCTTACTGCCGGGGCCCCGCACTGGGAAAGGGGGGCTCATCCTGGCGGGGCAGTGAGGACAGGCGCCCACAGAGCCAGCCCTGGCGGGGTCTCTGCCCACCCACCCTCCACAGCCCTGGGAAGGGGCTGGGGGGCTGGGGATGGAGCGTCGTGCTCTGCAGAGAAGCCAGCCTGAGGAAATGATTCCGTCCTCGGGGACCCAGGTTCCCCTGGGGCAGGAAAGGCCCTGGAACAGCGGCCACTCCAGGGGCCACAGACTTCCTGCCCCAGCTGGGGAGGCCTCCTTATTGCCTCCGCTTCTGCATCCGCAAAGCTCCCTGTGCCCCGACACCCAACGCCCAGGCTTGGGGGTGAGCAGGTGGCTTTCTGCACTTCCCTCCAGGCCCCTGTCTTGGGGGCTTGTCCTGCAGCTGTCACCTCTGTGTGGGTGCCGCCTGCTGGCCTGGGAGGACTGGGGGCCTGTGGCAGTCGGAGGCGGGCACTGGTTCGTCTCCTCCGTCCATACCCCCTTCCTCACCCCTGCCCCCAGGACCTGACACCCCTCTCCTCCTGGAGCAGGTCCCTACCTGCTGGGTCCTGCACTGCATGGGCCAGCCGCCCTGGGGACCAAAGACCCCTGAGCCTGGCCGCCCACTGAGACTGTCCTTTCACTCCCCCTGCTCCTGAGAAGATGCGGCAGCAGAGACGGAGGTCGGATGTATTTCCCCAGGCGTCCCATGCCCCTGGCCCATGTCACCTGACGAGGCGCATGCCACGTGGCCTGTTTCCATATCTGCTTGTGAGATTTTGGGTGGGAGGTCCCCAGAAGCCCCCCAAGTCCTGACAGTGCGTCGGTCTGAGGCTCTGCTGGGGTCTCCAGGCACAGGACAGACATTGCAGCTGGGAAGGGCTCGGGCATCTCTGTCCTCCCTCCCAAGGCAGGCAGCAGGCGAGGGGCAGGCGGGCTGGAGGAGGTGAGGTCTCCCAGGACAGGAGGAAAGGCAGGCCGCTCTGGGGGCAGGAGTCACAGACACGCAGGGAGCGCTCAGCTTAGACTCTGCTCAGCGGCCAGTGAGGAATTAGGTGACGGCACAGGGAGCACCTGGAACCGGGAAGGCACCAGCAGGTGCAGGGGACCCTGTGCCCTGTGGGCTCAGTGCTTTATCCACCAGAAGCATGACAGCCCCCCACTCCCGGTTCGGACTATTCCCTCTCAGAGCCCGGTACTCCTTTGCAGCTAGGAGGAGGTACTAATATCCCCATTTTACAGATGAGGAAACCGCCAAGCCCCGAGAGGTCCTGCCCCTGGCCCAGGGTCACCCAACCAGCAGAACTGGGGCTGGGACTTAGGTTGCCTGCCCTGAGAGGCTAGGTTTGGGACTGCCCCACCACACTGCCTCTCCAACGACCAGCTGCCCCCAGAGCCCGGGCGAGGGAGCCCCCTGCTGACCTCCACGGCCAAAAGGCTGTCACCTGGCCCCACGGGTCCCAGGGCTTCAATGCCCTGCTAGCCCTTTGTTCATACTGCACAGCACCAGCACCTGGGCGGCGGTTAGCTGAGCAACGCTGTCGCCCACCTAGCCAGGACAGCACAGAGAGGGGAATGGACCTGCCTGAGGTCACAGAGCCGGGGGGACCCAGGCCCCGGTGGCCGCCCCAGCCCATGCCGGCACTGACCTGGGCTGAGGGGGTAGAGCTCATTCTCTCCACCGAAGAGCAGGTTCCGGCTGAGTTTCCGGGGGTCGACTTTCTGGGGGGTGGAGGAAGGCGGACACAGTGAAAAGCGGCGGCGGAGAAAGGCCTCCTCCTTCATGGCCTGGGCGCTGGGAGGCTTCTGGAAGGAAGGAAGAGACGCGGTCACACCTACGTGGAGAGCAGGGGCGGCCCTAGGGGCCGGCGGGCAGCTTCCCACCCACCCTGGCAAGAGGCACTTCACAGGTCGGGGGTCAGTGGCAGGGGTCACCCCGTCTTATAGTCAGGCCCTCACTTGGGACGTCCAGAAACAGATGAGGAGGGCCTGGGGGGCCTGCGGACCAGCGGGGGTGTGGTCAGCGCAGGGAAGGCCGTGCCCGGGCTTCCTAGGGCCCTCGAGGGAGGACTGCGCCCGAGCCCGTGTTGGAAGCTCGGGCAAGACCAGCCCTGCCCAAGTGTAGCCCCTCATGGGTGTGGCAGGCACCTCTCTCTGGAAACACCCCGCCCCCAGGCCCAGCACTAAATTGGCTCTGTCAACCCTGGCCATGGCCACGTGAACCTGAGACGTGCCACTGACCCATGCCGGGCCACCAGAACTTCCCTCCCTGGTGACAGAGCTCTAGGTGGGGAGATGGCCGCTGACGCACACGGGGGGGTGGTGGGGGTGGCCGAGAGCTGCCTAGAGAGAGTGGATGGTGCCCAGAGCACCAGGGGCAGCTGGCCTGGGACCAGACCCCGCTGCCCTGAGACCCCGCCCCCCACACCCCCTCGGTCTGTCCTCCCTCTGCTTCGGCTCCTCCTCGGGGGTCTCTGCTGCTAGCGCCCCAACAGCTTCACTCGGAGAGAGACACAGGTGTGCTTAAAGCCAGGTGTGCCCCGATTCACACTCTGCCCGAGCCCTGGGCACTCCTGAATGGGCTTCCTTCCTGCCCCAGGCCTAGCCCAAAACAGCCCACCGCTCACGAGCAGGCCTGGGCCTCCTCCTGGATCCCTGCCCCCTCGTGGCCCGGTCCCCCCAGGGCTGGTGCAAGCAGATGACCAGTGACATAAGTCCCCAGAGCCGTCAGCCCATGTTACAGATGAGGAAATCGAGGCTCGGGGAGCTGAAGGCCTTTCCCTGTGGTCATGGCCTGGGGGTGGTGGCAGACAGGGACTCAGGCTCCGAGTCCTGTGCTCTGTCCACTCCCTAGGACCCGCTCCGGAAAGGCCCACGGAGCCATCTCTCCTCCGGGTCTGGGGCTGTGGGCCGCCTCCCTGCGTGGGCCCATGGCTTCCGGCCAAGCCCAGGACAAAGGCCGCATTTCTTCCCAAGGCCCTGGGCCCTCCAGGGTGGGGCTGGGACACACGGAGCCCTTCTGGCTGTGACAGGGTGGGAGAGTAGGACTGGGCGGGGCTTCGGGGTGGGCAGGGGGGCCCCCCACACCGGGCCTTCGTGGCAACCCCAGACCCTCCTCTGTGCCCCCTGCCTGGGGTCAGAGTGAGGGGCTCCCAGCCCCTCCAGCCCCTCCCTTCCTAACCTTGTCACCTGGCTAAGCTTATTAGTTTTTACCGATGGGGAAACTGGTTTCAGAGAGGTTGGGATCCTGGCCCACGGTCATGCAGCTACCAAGTGGCAATGCCCGTGCTTGAGCCACCTGGGACTGACTGCAGAGCCTGGCTCCCAGCCGGCACTCCCACGGCCTCGGCTTGGCTTCCAGCAAACCCGCTGCTAGGCCAGCCATGCTCGTCAGCGTCCGTGGCCGCCTCCAGCCCACCAGGTGAGTCAGACATGAACTGGACCTGGAGGGGCCCCCAGGTGAGCGAGGAGGGCTGAAGGCACAGGCAGGCCGCCCTCACCTGGAGCCTCGCCTCTCCTAGGGGTTAAGTCTTGCGCACACTGCCTGAGATCGGCTCAGCTCCCCAGCTGGCCTGTCTGTGCCGGCTCCACCCCGGGCACAGTGGGGAGGGCCACAGGATCCTGGCTGCCTTCTCAGACCCTCTCGTGCGCCTTCTCCCAGCACTGCTAGCGGCCGTGGAACTCTGGTCTGTGAGCTCCACCATCCACCCATGTACCCTATCCTCCTCCTCCTTCCCTCCCTCCACCCATCCACCCACCCACCCATCCATCCATCCA